CTTATTTGTCAGAACACAAAATATCACATAACAATGAGGTTAGTAGTTAATCTATAATAATCAAACTTGTAGACAGATTCAGTATGTTTTCAAGGTTAAACAGGTATATATTAGAGAGATAAATGACTTTCAAACACTTCAAAGACCTACAGATACGGCATTCAAGATATTTTGTTAAGTTAGGGTTTTATGTGACAGTGAGGCATATCTACTCCTGGAAGAACCAGTTTACTTCATAAAAGGATGATAGGCATTGAAGAAACTCCATATGGAGTTTGCTTTCAATGTGGCAAGGACACAGGAAGAAGACTGTAGAACTTTGCTAAAACAAGGCAAGACAGTCCTTCAGTCCTTTGAGATTCCTGCTTCACAGAAGAGTCTGCCAGATACTCTAGGCCTGTAGGCTGGGATGGATGCCCCAATGTTGCAGATGAACTTTGGGTGACTGTCCAGATAGCCACATGTCTCTGTTGTTAGGTATATTACATTCTTCTGTGGTCTTTGACGGAGTTAAAGATTAAATTGTTAGACTTACAGTTTTCCTTAGCTATGGTAGAAAGGAAATTAGGTATAAAACTTTGAAATCACCAAGATAAGATAAATAATGGAGTGTTTTCTCTAAATTTGCTAAATATAAATGGACTGAATATTGTTAATAAATTCTTACTTGATATTTGTTTTTGTTATATATAGTTTTACTATTTAAAAATTAAAACCTTTCATTTTGACAAAAAGAAGAAATGTTGTAGAATATTAGTTAGAGATGTGTTACATTTGTTTATGCTGTGGAACATTTGTTTAATGATGCAAAGATGTGTTGCATTCTTTTATGTTGCATTTATTTAACTCTGTGAAGCTGTATTACTTTGCCTGTCTAAAACATTTGATTGGTCTAATAAAGAGCTGAACGGCCAATAGCTAGGCAGGAGAAAGGATAGGTGGGGCTGTCAGGCAGAGAGAATAAATAGAAGGAGAAATCTGGGAAGAGAAGATCAAGAAACAAGAAAAGGATAATAGGAGGACTCCAGGGGTCAGCCACCCAGCTACACAGCAAACCATGGAGTTTGAAGTAAAAAATGTTGAAGGAGTGGCGGGCTGCATTCCTGCCTGGATCCAGGCTAGCTTACCCCCGAAATAATTACACAGAAACTGTATTTATTTAAACATTGCCTGGCCCATTATATCTAGCCTCTTCTTGGCTAACTCTCACATCTTGATTAACCCATTTCTAATAATCTGTATTGCCACTTGACTGTGGCTTACTGGCATGAGTTTAACCAGCATCCATCTTAGAGAGGAGCTTCATGGTGTCTGCCTGACTCTGCTTCTTTCTCCCAGCATTTTGTTCAGTCTACTCCACCTATCAAAAAGCCAAGGCAGTTTCTTTATTAACCAATGAAAGTAACACATAGATAGATGACCCTCCTACATAAAAAAAGGTATATAGAATAGAGAAAGATAAAAAGCCCAGAGGCAAAAGGTAGTTGAGATAATTTAAGAAAAGCTACCTAGAAACAAGCCAAGCTAAGACCAGGCATTCATAATTAATAATTAGTCTCCATGGATTTATTTGGGAGTTGGGTGGCAGGTAGCAACACCCCAAAGAGCAAAAAGTAAAAAATAAAAACAAAGAACACCTCTCTCTCTCTCTCTCTCTCTCTCTCTCTCTCTCTCACACACACACACACACACACACACACACACAGAGAGAGAGAGAGAGAGAGAGAGAGAGAGAGAGAGAGAATTGGGCTGTTAAGAATGAAATGGTCTAACCTCTTCAAAAAGCTGTAAAAGTCACCTGACTTCCCCTATCTGGCTCATCTCTGACCACACCCATTGTAGCCAAGTCATCAGGAGGGTGGCCCGTGTCTCTGCAGCACATGGATGGGTGTGCTCACACGTGAGAAGTAAAGCACTACCCTGCCTTTCTATACTTGCTGTTCTTTGGCCTTGGCCAGACACTAGAGACCTTCTGAATGGCTCTGTCCTGACTCCTTCCAGGACAGCAGCTTAGAGTCCCAAGTCCACAACCCCTGTGACAACACGAATTGTCCCTCAATGACTCAGGGATGTGCTTTTAAGCATCTTCATAGTCAAGATGCCTACTCTAGTCAATGACAAAAGAATGCCTTGCGTCAAGTGCTTTCCTTTTGGGACCCATAGAGTTTCCTATCCTGGGCCACTCGGATCTGAAGAGACCAGAGTTGACAGGAAGGGCACTCCTTATGAGGGCTATTGTTCGTGTTAATGTAGAGTCTACTCTTGGGTTTGGGATCAAGCCAGAGCCATTCAGCCTTTAATAATGCCTGTTTAAAAAACAGCAATTCTGGGACTGGAGAGATGGCTCGGCAGTTAAGCACACTCATTGCCCTTGCAACAAATTGAGTTCCCAGCACCCACATGGTGGCTCATAACCATCCATAGCTCTAGTTCCAGGGGATCTGATGTTGCCTTCTAACCTCCACAGTAAGTCACCAGGCACATGTATGATGTACATATATATTCAGACAAACACACACACACATACACACACACACACACACACACCCCAAATAATAAATCTTGAAAAACAAACATTAAACCTAGCACCTCTACAGCCGTTGCTGTGCACACAAGAGTCAAGTGTAAACCACATATGCTGTAGCTTCTTGCTTTGCACACAGGACCACAACATACAATGCCTCTGTGCCTTTGACTGAAGAAGGGGCAGAGCTCACCACAGAATGGGATGTCAGGATAAGAAGCCACCAAGAGTCAGACAGTGGTGGCACATGCCTTTAATCCTCACACTCAGGAAGCAGAAGAAGGTGGATCTCTGTGAGTTCAAAGTCAGCTTGGTCAACAAAGTGAGTTTCACGACAGCAAGGGCTACACAGAGAAATCCTGTCTCCAAAACAACAAACAAAAACTAATGCATAGAAAGATAGGAAGGCAGAAGTTTTCACAGATGTAATGCTAACCCACCACTGTGTGGTGAGTCATTGATCGCTTGCCCCTCTGTGCACAGGCAGTTCCATCAGCAGGCACCATCACCATCTTGGAAGTGGGGGCATTAAGTACAATATTAGTTCTTTTATATGAATTTTTCCATATTCAGTACCTTTACCTCCTTACTTTCATACATTCTAAAGGTGAGTAACATCCCTGGAAGGCAGTTTGGCAATGTGTGAAAAGAACTCTTTGGCCCATCCCAATTTCTAGGAACTTATACAAACAAACTTGTTGGAAAGACATAAACATTTATGGACCCCAAATTATTTTAGGGTTAAGGACTCCCAAATCAGAAACTAACCTAAAGGTCCAAAGAGGAAGAAATCTGTCCAGTATGCTACCCACCTACAATGAAGTATATTCATTGCAGAAGCACACTTAAGACATGGGAAAGTTCTTGAGATGTAAGGTTGGATAAAACAGCAAAAGGTGTGACCCAGTGCTGCTGAGCTCACTGGCACATGGTGAAACAGTTTCAGATTACAGTAAAATATTAATAATGGTAAATAGGTAGAGCATGAGACTCTTAATCTCAGGGTCATGGGTTCATGCCCCATGTTGGGTGCCAATCTGTAGGCGGAGGCTGCTTGTTCATTTCATGATATCTCACTGACTATGCCTTCTTTCTCTCAGCATTCAGTTTAGTTTTTTCACTTAGCTCTATTCTGCCCTGTTATAGGCCCAGAAGCTTCTTTATTAACCAATGGCATTCACAGCATACAGAGAGGAATCCCACGTCGGATATCTCTAGATATTTTTCCAATTTTCTGCTTCAGGTGGAATCAAAGTTTCTACCACTGAGCTGTATCCCCAGCCATAAATTGTCTTTATATTCTTCAGAATTGTCTCCAAAACTTTAACATGAAAATATATTACTTTTACATTCAGAGGGGGTAAAGGTTTCTAGGAGTTTTGTTTGTTTGTTTGTTTCTGTTTTATCCACTGACAACATGGAGCTGAATTCACCTCTTATCTTCAGGAAGAGTATTAGCTTCCCCAGTCGCTGTACTTAGGGAACCTGTCTCCAGGATTAGAAGATGATTTCCCAACACACTTCCTCTAAAGACAAACTCTGTGTAAGTGAAAGTTTTTCATCAAAGAGAAACTGGAAATTACAAGCAAAGAACCGAAAATGAGAATGGTGTCTTAGGGCTACACTCACTGTGATAAACACCACGGTCAAAAGCAGCTTGGGGAGGGAAGGCTTGATTTCATTCATAGCTACATATATCAGTTCATTATTAAAAGCAATGAGGGCAGGAACCTGAAGGCAGGAACCTGAAGGCAGGAGCTAATGCAGAGATCATGGAGGATGGAGGGATGCTGCTTACTGGCTTGCTTCCCATGGCTCACTCAGCCTGCTTTCCTTTTTTTTGTTTTCGTTTTTGTTGTTGTTGTTGTTCGTTTATTTTGTTTTGTTTTTTTGACACAGGGTTTCTCCATGTAGCTTTGGAGCCTGTCCTGGAACTCTCTTTGTAGACCAGGCTGGCCTCAAACTCAGAGAGCTGCCTGCCTCTGCCTCCCAAGTGCTGAGATTAAAGGCGTGCGCCACTACACCCAGATATATCTGTTTTTAACACCTGTATTTTTTTCTAGGTTCAGTGTATTTTGTATTAGGAAGCAAAGATAGACTGGCCTTTATTGGACAGGATGATTTTCTAACTTGTCAAAATTTCATATATATTACTTTTATTCTTCAAAAATGTCATATGGTACATTTTGATCATATTCACCCCCACTTCTCCCCCTGACATCTGTATTTTGTTACAGAATATTTTCATATACTGTCTCTCATCTGAAATCTCTGTATGAAATAGGCAAGTTACTGACTGCATTTAAGGCTGGGGATCCCAGATATGGAAAAGGAATGTGGCTCCATTCAATACTTTTCTCATTCCTGTGACCACATGCCTGGGCAGTTAAGGGAACAAAGGTCCGTCTTTACTCAGGTCTGAGGGCGCAGCCTGGCGGTGAGGACTCTGTGGCAGGATCCCGCCCACAACAGCTGGAGGATGTTTGCTTGCAGCACAGCGGAACAGGAAGTGAAGAACGAGGAAGGCTGGTGTTGCCATGATGCTTTTCTCTGTCCACTTCTCTACCCCCAAGTCATCAGACGGTGCCCCCAACACTCAAGGTGAGCCTCTCTCTCTTCCTCAGTCAACCCTCTCTGGAAACACCCTCAGAGACAGGTGCAGAGGAGTCTCCTGGGTGATCCTAAATCTAGTCAAGTGGGCGGTCGTGATTGATCCTTCCTGTGACCGATCTAAGTTCATGAGCTGAACCAGCATGGGTTCATCTCGGGCCCTTTGGCTTACACTGTTCCCTGAACGCATGACTCACTCTCTCAGTAATAAAAACTGCGATCACTCTGAACGCTGCTCCATGGGACCCCTAGGACCAGATGTTTGTTCCTCATTCCCTCAATCCTTGCCACCACCGTAAATGGCTCCTCACTTGAATTTTCACATTGGACAAAACTGAAACTGAGAAAGGCTTAGGAATGTGTCCAGTTTCATGTAATAAACACTGAACTTGAGACTCCAATCAATATTGTCTGTTTCCAAAGTTTGGAACAGAGAGTTTGTCACCAAGGGTGTTACTAACAAAGAGTGGGACTGGGAAGGGATTAATATCTATGCTGAACCCCTTGAGCATTCTTTCTTAATGCGAGGGTGTTTATGTGTGTGCAGATATCTGAGTATATTCATGGGCACACAGGCCTACACGTGTAGGCCTGAGAACAATCCTGCGTGCCATCCTCCGGAATACCATCTACTTCCTTTCAGACCAGGTCTCTCATTGGCCTTGAGCTCACCAATAGGTCTGGACTGACCAACCAAAGAACTCCAGCCATCCTCCTGTCTTCCTTCTCTGCACAGACATTTACAAATACACACCACCATGCCTGGCATTTTTACCTGGGTTCTGGACATTGAACTCAGGCCCTCATGCCCGCAAGGTTGCTTTACCACCTGAACTATCTCTAACCCTTGGGACATTTTTAATAGTTTTTGAAAGGGTAAATAAAACCCTAGTGATCTGTGTGGGTCTGTGGCCTGTGTGATCCCCCACACAACACACTCAGAAGGTCCTGTACTTCACTAGGGCTCTGGTGTCATCATCTTGGAAATTTTTAAAAATTCATTTATATTTATGTGGTGTTTTTGACTGTGTGTATGTCTGTGTGAGGGTGCCAGATTCCCTAAAACTTGAAAAATGGTCAGCTGTGAGCTACCATGTAGGTGCCAGGAATTGAACCCAGGTCCTCCAGAAGAGCAGTCAGTGCTCTTAACTGCTCAGCCATCTCTCCAGTACCCCATCTTGGAATTCTTAATAATTTTGTTTTTGTGTGTATTTTGTAAGTGAAGTCTGGGGAAACACTGGAACAGGTCTGTGGGTTGAGGAGATAGGTCAGTAGTCCTGTCCACACTGTTCCATGATGTCCCATCAATGTAAGGTACTTGTAATACTCATGGCACACAATCCCAGTTGACCATGCTATGTGGGACACTGACTGAGTACAAAGTATGTATGGTTCTGTGTTGTAGGATATTTACTGGAGAAAACTGCTTGGGCATGGGTTTAAGCCCATAAAAAAGTCTTTATTAGCTGACTGGCAACTATACTAGGTGTTCAGATCCCAGTGTAGCATCCAGCCTTTCTCAGATTGAGCTCTCAAGCACAAAAACCATGTTTGGGATGACATACTTCAGTTAAATAGATCAGTTCAGCAGAGCTACAGAAGCTAAAAAGCAAGGTTAGCACATTACAGACCTTTGATGGGTTAGGTCTTTGTTTTCATTCTTGGCAGGTGGTGCTGTCTATGTGCAGGGTTTTACAGACCGAATGACACTTCCATCATGGAAGTGTTAGTTGTGTTAAGGTCAGGTCTGGTCCCTGTCACAAATGACTGAGTTACCCAGGAGAGGCCACACTTGGGTTTCTAACCAGACGGCTCTCTAATGAGGAGAGAAGACAGTTGTTCTGAATCCTATCTTATCCCAGCTTGTGTTAATTGACTGTGTCAGCCAACGACAGCCTGAGAGTGACAAAGAAGAAAAACAAATGAGCCTCCCCTGCTTGCTTTCCTTTCAGGCTCCCTGCCCCCTCCTCCCTCGCAGACAGAAGTTGAGTGTTGGGAAAACACTCAGCAGAGTTTTAAACTAGCTCCGAAAGCCCAAGTGGTATTTTGACAAAACCCAGAATCACGAATGTTCTTATGGGTGATTTCTGTGGTTGTGGGCGTACAGGATCATTAGAGAGACAAGTGTACCGTGAACCTTGAAACAACACAGTGCCAGCTATCAGCATTACTCATTTACAGCCTTGTTTCTGCCCCACCGTTCTCTTCTGTTACCTGCCTGCCAGGGAGATTTGCTCCTAAGAAAAACAATTTCAACCTGAGTTGGTGAGTGCCTGGCAGCCGTTGGAAGTTTGTCCCATTCACCCTGCTTTCTTTCTGAAGATATGACGTGGGTGACTGTGATCTGGGCAGGCATATGAGAAGACTGTGGGGAATGGACCATTATATTTACTTGTAGAGTTTAACATGAGTACTAGATTTTTCTTTTTGAAATATAAAACATGAAGGAAATAGAAAACCTTGCAGTCCTAATATAATCCTGTATGTAAAAATTATTTCTTGTAACAGGTTTGCTGGTTAGCATCCCCACCCCTGCCACAATTGATGAAAAGACCAAGACCCGGCTATTATGTAACAGTTTCCTCCAAGGTTGAAACATTCCATCATGCAGGAAGCTCATGAAGCCGGAGGGCATACAAATAAAATAGCTCCAGGAAATCCCTGAAGCTGAGCAGACTCAGTATAAGTTAAAGTTGTCGAAGAACCCATTACAGATCTAAAAAGCACCAGTAAGAGCACTTAATTGGAAGAGGGGGAGGGAGGTGTTAGAAAAGAAGAATTTTAATCGGTATTAATGTCATTTCCAAACTGACGAGTCAAATACATATAATTTAGAGCTAGTACACCTTGAGGCAGAAGTGTAATTATACTGTTTATAATTACAGAGGTTAGTTTCTGTAAGAGCAAATGACAAAAAAGTAGTTGCCATGAAAGAAGGCAGTCCCAGAAGATCCAAGGACTGTCTAGAGTCAACTCCATGGCAGTGAGAAGAGACTGGCAATCAGCTGGCATTGGGAGAAATGGGGTGAATGAGGGTGGCAGCCACATGTATAGGGCCCTTCTGGGGCAATGAAAATGTTCTAACATCAAGTACAGTGACAGTCGTACAGCTCCATAAATAGCTAAAATCACTGTCATGTAAGTTAAATATTTTACTTTATTATTTTTTGTTTAAGAATTCATGCAAGAGCATTTCATATATATTTCCATCACCTCTCCCCTCACTCATGACCACTTCTATAATTATCATTACATATATACATATATGTATATAACATACAGAGAGATTCAATCTATTGAGTCCTGCCTCTCACTATTTTTGGAAACTTCATATTTGGGAAGTGGACTAGTAGGTTCTTGTGTAATATTATCACTTTCTCTAGTTCGCTGTGACCAAATTATGCATTTGGGACAGGAATTCTCCAGGACCAGTATTAGGGCCTTCTCGGCCTGTCCTGTCTAGGGCACAATGTTTGTCTTATTCTTGGTGGTGTTGGCCTGGGACTCTTGGTCAAGATGGCGTTGCTGTTTTTCCTTGGTTCTTTTGTTTTGGTTTGTTTATACATAGTTACAATTTTTCTCTTTGACATCAACATCTTGGAGATATGAAGCTAAGGTAAAAAATTACTGATGGCCTCCCCAAAATGTGATATATATTTAATATAAAGCAATTTGATTTTTCATTGATTTTTCTTACTTTGAGGCCATACATTTGGAAACCAGATATAGTGTCTTTTGGATGCTTCTCCCAACAACTTATAAATTGCTGAATATTTCTTAGAATTTCCAAGGAGTTTGGGGATGTCAGGCTATCCACTCGTTAAGTATGCTATGGTTTATTGGAGCACTAATAAGAAAGAAATATCCCCAAACAGTTCACCTTTATTTTCCAGGTATTAAATATAGATTTTTCACAATACTATATGAAGTCACAAAGACAGATATCCAGAGTAATTCCCTAAGACTCCATCATCAATGCTAAGCGTGTGAAAGTGAATGGTTTTGTAGGGTTTAGCTTAAGTACGACAGTTATGTAAGTGTGAGCATTTCTTATATCAGATAATAAACAACTCCATATCATTGGCACATGAATCAGTAACGACTGAGGTACTGCCACTTTCTTGCTTCACAATTTAGGATGATTTCGACTTTGTTTCCTCTCTTTTATGTGTGTGCACACATGTGAAGGCTGGAAATTGATGTTGGGAATCTCCGTGACTTCTCCACCATATTCCTGGAGACAGGGTCTCTCAGTTGAACCCAGATCTCACCAATTTGGCTACTCTGGCTAGCCAGCTTGCTCTGTGATCCTCCATCTCTGCCTCTGAGTGCTGGGATTATGGGCAGGCTGTGATGGCCATCCAGCATTTATGTGGGTTCTGGGGATCTGAACTCTGGTCCTCACAGCCATACAGCAAGAACTCACTCGGTGAGCCATCTCTCTAGCCCAGCATTGTTTTTTAAAGGCATCAAAGCAAACAGCAAATAAACAGCAAGAATCTCTGCTTCCTTTCTGGACTTGATGTAATTACCTGGAAGAATTTTTCGGAATTTTTTCCTAGCACTTTGTGAAGCACTTTGAGTGTGTGCATCACTTGTTGGATAGGCAGTGTGCTCAATGGGGGGGGGGGGTTGTCTTTAAGAATCTTGGGGAGGAAAACTTGTGAAGAGTTATTTGGTGTCCTTTATTTTCCACTCCTCCCAAAAAGTGATACATGCTTTTCTACAAAATGGTTTGATTTTTCATCAGTTTTTAATATTTTATTAGTCCCTCGAGAATTTTCTACAATGAAATTGACCGTATCCACCCCTCCCCCAGCTTCTCTCAGCCCCTCCACCACCCCAGCTTCTCTGCGCATTAAATTGGGTCCTCTTTATATGTTTTTCTCCGCCTGTCCAGTCCAAGCTGTGGAGCTCATGTGCTCTTGGGAATATGGCCTCCCACTTGTATGGTCAGCCTCCCAGTGGCAACAACACTGTTTTTTAGAAAACCTGATTCCGCAGCTTGATCTAACCTCATATGAGACCATAGAGTCTGAGGCAACACACACACACACACACACACACACACACACACACACACACACACACGGCCTGCCTGGGTCTGCGTAGGGTCCTCTGAGTATATGTTACGGCTTCCGGTTTAGTTGTATGCAAATGAGTGGGTTCTCTTGATTCTTGTGTTTTCATGGGCTCTTTTCCTTTGAATTTTTTGTTTGTTTGTTTTCATTTGGTCCAATTTCTATGTGTTAGCTTTTGTTTTATCCTATTTTATTATTTAATTACTATTCCTTAGAAGCCCACTGTTTTCTAATGAGAGACAGAAAGGGAGTGAATATGGATGGGAGGGGGAGGTGGGCAGGAGCTCAGAGGAGTCGCGGGAGGGGAAATTGTAATCAGGATATATTATGTGAGAAAAAAAATCTACTTTCAATAAAAGGGGAAAAAAAAGAAAACCGTGATTCTCCTCCCAGCAGCTGTCAACTGCTAATAGTCCCTCCGTAGAGGCGGGGCTTCATGCCCATCTCCTCTCTCCTGGCGGGATTTGGTCGGGCTGGAGCTTGCATGGGTTGTCTGCATGTTCTCCTAACTGCTGTGTGTTCCTATTGCAGCTGCCCTGTTACACCTGGAAGATACTGTTTCTTTGTACACACTCACTGATACTGTTTCTTTGTACACACTCACTGATACTGTTTCTTTGTACACACTCACTGATACTGTTTCTTTGTGCACACTCACCAGCTCTGACTCTCACAGTCCTTCTGCCCTTTCTTACACAATGATTCCTGAGCCTTGGGGAGAGTACACAGTACAGATGTTCCATTTAGGGCTGAACATTCCTCAATCTCTTGCTCTCTCCACCTTGGCCAGTTGTGGGGCTCTGTGTTATTCATCTACTGCAAATAGAAGTTTCTCTGTTGTGGGCTGAGAGATGCATTGATCGATAAGTATAACAGTAAGTCCTTAGGAATCAGTTTAATGTACTACGTCCACTTTGCAGAACAATAGTAGTAGGTTTCCCCCTAGGGCCTGTGACCTGTGGAACCACAGGTTCTTAGCCCCCAGCAATTTGTGGACAGAACTTAAATCTAATCAGAAAGTGTCAGAAAGTGATTGGTAACTCCCATGATGTTTGTGCCACTGTTGCTCCAGTGGGTGCTGGTTTCCTTCTTAACTTGAGGTAAGACAGTGGTGTGCCCCTGGGGCATTGACTGTCATTGTTGCTCTACCTCCAGAGTGTGCTCTCCCTAACCCCCAAGCTTGCATCTCCACATGACTTTATTCATAGTTGCTAAAGCAGATGGTGAGACAGAGCTACAACCCATCCATTCCCCTGAGGTGACGGCCAAGCCACTCTGTGCATAGGAGAGGCCCTGCAACACCATCTCAGGAACGAAACCCCAGCTCTGATTATTCTTCTCTCAACTTCATAATGAAGGTTTGTAAATTGGTGACTTTTGCTCCCTCAGGTGAAATGGAGCTATTTTGAGAAAAGGGGTGGCTCCTTACAGCTTGACAGCTGTTTGTGCAACTGTCACATAATGCCACAGGTGGGGGAGATTTCTGAGAAAAGAGCCGTAATTAACTTCTACAGTTCTGAAGGATGGGAGGCCCAAGGCCACTGGACCACGTCTGGTAAGGGGGGCCTTCACAGTGTCATAACACGGTGAAGTCCATCACTTGGTGAAAGAGTTCTCTAGCGAGAGTGTGAAAGTACCACACCTCCTTGTGGATAATAACTCATCACTCCAGGAAAACAAGAGCATCCCAGTAAGGGGAGCAGACCTCTCATCGCTAGGGCAAGGTCAGGCAGGAGCAGGAGCAAAGGGCCCTCCGCAGCCATCTGCCTCCCAGGCATCACTCGCGATGTATAAATAAGAATCCCAGCTTCCTCTCAGACAGAAGCGTGACTGACAGTCAGTGGCCCTGTTTCATACGGTTTAGTCTGTGGTTCTGATGCAGACAGCAGGCAGTTCCCTTGTCCAGAAAGAATGAGACAGTGGTAAAGAGAAAATACTGTTTTACACACTAAAGACCAGTCTGGAGCCATAGGTAAAAATGCAGCACAGACCTGAAGACAGATAAGACAAAGGGCAGGGATGCAGATGTGGCTCAGCTGGTACACTGCCTGCCCAGATACCCTGAGTTTGAGCTCCAGAATTACATAGACCAGGAATGTTGGCATGTGTCTGTAATACCAGCACTGGAGAGGTGGAGACAGGAGCATCCAGAGGTCAAGGTCACCTCTGCGTGCACAGTGAGTTCAAGGTCACCTCTGCGTTGATAGTGAGTTCAAGGTCACCTCTGCGTTGATAGTGAGTTCAAGGCCAACCTGGAATTCATGAAATTCATTCATGTCTCAAAAAAGAAAGCATATAACAGAGGTTAAAAACGGAAGGAATGGGTACCCCACTAATGAGATATATCACAAATGTGAAGGAATGGGTACCCCACTAATGAGATATATCAAAAATGTGAAGGAATGGGTATCCCACTAATGAGATATATCAAAAATGTGAAGGAATGGGTACCCCACTAATGAGATATATCAAAAATGTGTGTCCCTCTCCCAAAGCCCCCTGTTAACACAGTTGCTCCACTCACTGCTGAATCTGCCTGCTTTCGGAACTCTGAAATCATTTTTCCCTTTCTCCTCCTCCACCTGCTCCTCCTAGCATCTGCTGAGATCCCCCGCCTGCCCATGTTGTTGTTTTTCTCCCAAATGCCAATAAAAATTGTTAGGGGTTCTCCTCTGACTCCACTTTTAAATTCTTTTATCAATGAAACCAAAGGTCTACCCAAGGGACCTTGTGTCCCCCGGTGATATCATGATGTCAATCATGTCAATCTTTTCTCGGGGTTCCACCTGGTCCCTGTTGCAGTGGGGTTAAGTTCCCATCGTATGCTAGGGTCAGAGGGCCTAGTCAAACACAGCGAAGCTTAGTGGGAGAGGGTGCGCCACAGCCTTCTGACTGAGCATAGACTTTGGCAGACAGGAAGACGACCTCACCAGGCAGGAGCAGGAAGCATTTAGGAGAAAAAAATCTGCCCTCCCACCAACTGTGTGACTTCTTGTGAAGTCTCCATGCACTTCAGTTTCACCTCCCTGAGACATGGATAACGGTGTTCTCTGAGGTAAGGCGGGCGAACGGCCATGAGGACCTAAGCCAGCTGCTGCAAAAACAGGAGCTCATGATGTATTTTTCTCCTTTCTTTTTTTTTTTTTTTTTTTTTTTTTTTTTATTTTTCTCCTTTCTTATATTCTAGAAACTTCGCAAACCAAAACACTGAAAAGCAAAACAATGCTTCGAGAAACGACCTGCCCAGGACGACAATGAATATTTTAATCATAGGATTTGCATATGTTGTGATAAAGATGAATTACTACCAACACCAGGGGTTAAGGATGACTGAGATCTAGACTTGAAAACAAAATCTGCCAAAAAATGTTGTGATTTTAAGTTCATTAGCTAAGTTTAAAAAGTGTCAGTTAACAATGATATGGAGTACCCAGTTATACTGCTGCATCGTTTTAATTTTTAATTATTATTGTATGTTATGTGTATGGGTGCTTTGCTTGCATGCATGCCTGTGCACCATGTGCACACTTTGTCAGTGGAGTCCAGAGAGGGCATCAGATACCCTAGGACTGGAGTTGGCTGGGAGCCACCACATGGGCACTGGGAACTGAACCCAGGTCCTCTGGGAAAGCGCCAAGTGCTCTAACTACTGAGCAGTCTCCAGCCCCATTTTGATGCATCCTGATGTGGTAAACAGGGCACCACAGTTTGGCACAACACAAGGGTAGAACTGAGTCCTCTAAGAACCATTTCCATGTTCTGGGTTTCGTTTCTTGATATTCTGAGGATCAGAGGGCTAATAGACTCTCACACACACATTTCTTCTGCCAGTCTCTTGGTTCCAGAGTCTCGGTGAGGGAGCCTGAACTTAGCTGCTGGTCCGCCACCATCTGTTTTCTAATAACCCTCACTGGGCCGGAGATGTCGTTCAGTGGTAAGCACTTGCCTATTGCATGTGACAGCCCGGGCCGGGTCCTCAGCAACACCTCCCCAAATGTGTTTTCCTCAGACCAAATGATTTTCATTTCCTACGCTTTAAATCTCCCCCTCCCTTGTCACTCAGAACCACTCTTCACAAGGATGGCTGTGGAATTCACTTTTGTTGCTTATTCCAAAGGTCCCTTAACCATCAGTCTCCCAGGAACTGAAGTCCCCTGGCAAGCAGCCTCAGAGGAGAGAGGGAGAGAGACAGAGCGCACAGAGACAGAGGGTGTCTGAAGACCTGTGGCCTCAGCGGGGACCACAGGAGCCATCAGAAGCTGGAAGAGTGGAGGAGGGATCGTTTCTACAGCCTTCAGAGGGAGCACACCACCCTGCTCTCCTTAGCACTTAGCACTCCCAGAGCCAGGAGAGAGTACAGTTCAGGTTTTTTAAGCAGCTGGGCTGTTTTAATCTGTTAGAGTGCTAAGATCCGGAGGGGTGGGGGCGGAAAGCGAGCTGAAGAGAGGTCACACAGTGTGACTCTCCAAGTTGGTGTAGAGGACATAGACACCCCCGGATCTGCCGCCCCCACCACACGCCAAAGAGCAGTCCATCCTCTGGGAAGCAGAATGCAAGCTCTGTAGACAAAGGACCATGTTGTTTGTTTCACAGTGTGCCTGATGCAGTCATCAGCCCTTGACCCTGGAGGTGATAAATGACTAATGTTTGAGTGAAGGGTTAAATAAGCAGAGGAGAGACAGCACGGGCCTCCCACGTGCTAAATCACCAGCTGCTGTCCAGGACCCCGAGGTCTCTGACTCCTTGGGTGCTGAACCAGGACCACACTGAAACGCTGATGGGAGCAGGGGTGCTTTCCAGGGAGGCCCGTGATGTTGAGGCTTAGGAGCGCAAAAACACAAAGTCCACCCTGCAGAGGAGACCAACAGAAGGAGGAGCAGCGGCCTCACCTCTGTCCCCAGGGCTGGCTAACAGGAAGTGTCTGCCCACCTCCCCGTTGGCCAATGCCACCATCCGTGGTCCCTCCACCTGCAGCCACTAGTCTGCCAGCCACGTCAGCTGTTAGTCGGTATCAACCACTCAAGGGTGGAAGAAGTTTCTTCCTCCTGGGCCCACTGAAGGAAGGGGAAGGACAGGTGCAGCCGCCTTTGAGAAAGGGCTTTCCCCTGCCTTGCCCACACACCACCACCTCCCAGCAGGGTGGCTGTGAGTTCCTCAGGGCAGATGATAAGGATGGGTGATCCGATCAATAAAGTGAGGCATGAAATACAATAGAAGACTCATTGCCCTTAAAGAGAGGGAGTTCTGACCCTGCCACTGAACCTTGAGAATACTTTGCTAAGTGGGAGAAGCCAGCCCCACTAAGAGTGGATCGGCTCAGTGCACCCACACAGGACACCTGGAGGGGTCTAACTCAGAGAAGGAAAGCAGTGGCTGCCAGGGACTAGGGAGATTAAACTGCAGAGTTGTTTAATGGGATAGAGCTTCAGTTCTGTAGATGGATGATGTTGGTGAGTGTACTCTCAGCCGTTAAGACAATCATCCTACGTTACGGGATCTCGCTGCCATTTTCAGGACAATTGCCGGGCACCTGTAACCTCAGCACTGGGGAGGCGGAAGCTGGGAACTCAAGATGACGATAGATGCGTTGGGGCTGGGTGGGGAGTTTCTCCTCAATAAATACCTAAATAAACAGTCAACAAATGGCTGAAACTCGCTTTCATCTCCATCGTAAAGCTTCTCTGTAGGCTTCCAAAGCCTAAACCTCCTCAAAGCCGACCAGAAAGCAGAAAAATGGCCAGGCCAGGTGCTCCAGTTTTGTAATCCCAGAGCTGGGGAGGGGCGAGCCTGGGCAGCGGGACTCCAGGACTCTTCAGCTGCAGAGCAAGTTTGAGGACCCGGACACAAACTGTTTCAGTCCGTTTTGCTTTCCCACACAAAGGCAGAACGGTTCTCTGAGCTGCTGCTTGCAAAGTGGGGTCCCAAGACCAGCACAAGCACTTTAGACTCTCAAACATGCAGGTTCCCTGCCCCAATTTGGCTCTCTTGACTCCGCAAATCTCAAGGTGGTACCTGGCGCCACACATTTTAACAAGCCTCCAGGTGACCCCTCACGAAGGGAGTCCTCTCTAGCTGCTCCTGTTACGTGGGACAGTTGCACCTGCCCCGTCCGACAGGGTCTGCGAGCAGCCAGGGACAGGTATCCTGCAGCAGGGTTTGAGCGACGTTAAACTCGCTCCTCCAAGGGTGGAGCCCTGGCCGGCCCCGCCTCGCACTCCTACTGCCCCACAGGTAGCCTGCTGGGCAGGGCCTGGAAACAAAGTCAGGGTGGCTGAACTCCGGCTCGCCAGTCGCCCGCCAGGAACCTTGGAGTCGCCACCATGGGTACGTGTGCACGGGCAGCTGGGGCGGGGTCTCCGGGAGTAGGGAGATTGCGAAGCAGGTGCCACCGGGCGGGGAATGACTCCGCACTGGCAGCAGGGAGCGGACTGGCTGCAGGCTGGAAACCAGGCACAAAGTTTTGACGACCCCTTTCGGTGGTCAGACGCCAAGGATGCAGGAATAAATGCGATACCTGCCCCCCGCCCCAGCCTGCCTCTTAGAAACTCCGGTTTTCATTCTCTCGATGCCAAGTGACTGTGGTCTTGGAGTTGGGCTGAATTCTACGAGTGATGGCAGGAAGGGGCGATGAGGAGGGGCTTGGGGGGGGGGGCGTGGGAGCTTTGCTCCGCCTGTGCCTCTAGCTGAGAGAGTGACCCTGGAATTCTCCAGGAAATCCCTGGCCCCAGGGTAAGTCAAGCCGCTTCTCTGTGACCTTCTTCGGGTTCTACCACAGCCCTCAGATTTAAAAGACACACAAATTCGGAAGCCCATCCTTGAGCAGTCCGGAGTAGGCCAGCTCTGCTTCAAAGCAAGCCGGCTTTGGAAGTGACTTAGAACCACAGAGGAGGCCCTGAGGCCACCGGTCCCCTCAAAGCCGAAATGACAACGTGACTCTTCCAAAGCCCAGCGTCTGCTTTTCGGGCTGCGCGGGCATAGGCCTTTGAGAGCCCACGTGGCCTGCTGGCATTGTGTTCATTTTACCTCTTTACCCTTCCCCTCCCACCTCACTTCCTACTGGACCACACCAGGAGTTTTAGAAATAGCAGCAAGGGAGTGGGTCACACATTGAACGTTGTCTGTAGCAAAGTGCTGTTCCGGAAAGATTTCTTGTGTCATTTTAGATGGAAGGCATCAGGCTACGTACCACCGTACCCAGCTTCTAAGAGGAGCTCCGGATCGCACTCCTCCTGACATTCTTGTAATGTTGCTGGAAGCCGCTTTGAGTTGCTTATGTTGGACTCTGATGTCAGGTGCCTGGGTTATCACAGGATTCGCTTTGTGTGAGATGTGTTTTGCCCTTCTAACAGTTAGCTCTGGTGAGGACAATTCTCAGAAATCTGGAAGAAAAGAATATTAATATTAGTTACTAGTTAATTGATAGATGTTAATGACTTAATTATTGATTAATTATTAATTAATAGAGATGAATTGATTTTAATATTAAAAGCATAGTGCTCCAGAGGAATGGGCGTTTCCTTGATTGTAAGCTTCCTCAACTGGAGTTGTGCAGCAGGGGTTAGCATGGCGTGAGAATGGCAGCCAGAGGCTTATGTTCAAACCAGGGCTTGATTTGTAGGCATCTCAGCTTTTCAATATCGAGAGCAAGGAAATGGATAATATAATTAAAAAGTGTTTTTGAGGCGAAAAAGCTGTAGTGACTTGCCGTCTTGAAAACAATTGTTGGCAGTTAGAATGGGTCAAAAATGTTTCAGGTACTGTGTGATGGATGGTGAGTGAAATAGAGGAGAGCGGTTCTTAGAGAGGCAGATGTCCTAAGCCAGCTGACTTCTTCGTGTGTGGTTCCGGTGTTCACATGGGAGAGCCTCCCTCCCCCAGGAGTCCAGAGGTCCGAGTGAGGATGACCAGGAAGGAGGGCCCTGTGACTCTATGGCACTCAGGCTGTGGAGGTGCCTGGATTGTGGATGTTCATGACTGAACCTGGCCAGTGTCTGGTTGAAATCTTAAACCTCAGACTTGTTTCTAAGCAGAGATCGGCAGCCTTTTCTAAGCAGGACCGTGGTAGTGACAGCTGGGCTCTGTCCTTGGAGTGTAGAGACAGCCCCAGACACTCTGCCAGCATGTGGGTGGAGCTGTCCCAATAAAACCAGCTACATGCACTGACTGTCAGGCTTTGTATAGTTTCTTTTCTCTGTTAACTGACTTTTTTAAAAAAAAAATACTCCTTTTAAGTTTTTATTGAATTTTATTGATTTATTATGTATGTGTACGTGCTTACACCCTCGTGGTTTTTGAGACAGAGTCTCATTCTACACCCCAGACTGGCCTCACACCCATAGTAATTCTCCTGCTTCAACCTCCCGAGTGCTGGGGTTGCAAGTGTGAGCCAGCACATCTTGCCTTTTGTATAATTTCCCATGTACTCACAAAATAGCCTCCAGTTTTTTTTTTTTTTCAATCACTTAAAAACAATCCATCATTCTTAGCAGCTGAGCTGGATGTTCTGAGCCCGTGTCTGCTGATGGCTGACTGAAGGCATGCATGCTGCAAGAGAGTCTGTTTCCACACTGGCCTCTCGGAGTGTCTGGTCTCTGAACAACAGAAACTCTCACAGACTGAGGAGCAACCCAGGAGAGAGCAGCGGCATTGCCTTTGGGAGGCTGAGGAGAAAGATGTCCATTCACTGTTTCTATGACTTGGTTCTTTCCTGTCATCTCTCTTACCTAAAACTTTGCAGCAGCTGAGGCTGGATTAGATGCTGCTATCAAACACGTTCTATGCTTCAGTTTGCTGGCGTACTTACATGGGCTCTGACAGTTAGAGTCAAGCTCCCGCCCGTGTCCCAAAGCTCCGGGTTACTTGAGAAGTCGGCTTCCTTAGTGACGCGAGCTCTACCACGTGCCCTTCCTCAGATCTCAGCCTCGTGTGCGCGTCTTAGGAGTTTTTCCAACTCAGCCTCTTGCTTGGGTGTGAAGGAATGCCCCAGCCTTGCCTTCCTTCCTACCTAGCCATTGAAAAGTCCTTCCTCATTCTCTCTAGCATGCAGGGTCAAAGAGGCAGGGAAGCTGGCATTCCGCTCCAGGCTGGGTGTGAATAGCTGGCAGCTGAGGGTTCTATACACAGATGGAAGAGCTGGCTAGCAGCAAGAAACAAGAGCTGCTAAGTTGGGCTCTTGCTAATATTTCTAACTGTATTTTTCCTTTTTTAACTTATTTTTTTGAGATGGGGGTCTCAATTCAAATGCTTTATATCTGAAAATGCTCTTGAGCTTCTTGTCCTCCTGTCTCCACTTCCACAGTGTTGGGGTTAGAGATGCGCTCCGCCCATCTTATGTGGTGTACAAGGTCAAATCCAAGACTTCGCCCGTGCTAGGCAGTCACTCTACCCACGGTGTTCCATCCCTAGGTGACTTTCTAACTTTACACACATGAACACACCTGGATGAGCGCCACCCCTTGGTGTCTGACTCCATGAAACTGGGATAGGAGCCAAGGATGGGCTTGCACACAGTTCTCAGGATGCCCTTGCTGCTGGTCCCAGGACCACACTCTGAGAATGATGGCTTACAGTGACTAAGTGATCATGACTGACTGCTCCCTCTTCTCCTTGACCCTTACCCATGTTTAAATGTTGCTACTGTGTTTTAGAAGTTAGATGGTAGTAATAATTAGTCCAGCCTGTCCCCTGGGTATGTGTGAGGACATGTCCACTGTGATGGGAAGGTTTGTGGCAGTTTGAAAAATGACTGCGGCGGCCAGGAGAATCGGAATGAAGCGATGGTCTCCTGGGCCTGCCAGAGTGGACCTAAAGTCCCTGATTTACACAGATGCTTACTTCCCACAGAAGGCCATGGAGCAGCCCTCCTGGAGCAGATCATATCCTCAGGGCAGGAACCCAAGTTCTTAGAAACATTTCTGTCTTCTGAATTAACATTTCTGCTAAGATGTGACAGCAGAGGAAGCAGCAATGAAGATGGAGGAGTTGCCTGACATCTTCCTGCTAGACCTTGGCTTTGCTGTTCACCCGTCCACGGTGCCTCCTGGGGTTGGGGGCTGGAGAGAAATCACCCTTCTTGTTTTCTCGGATTTTCAGCTTTTATTCTGCCCTTGAGATTCCCGAGGCATCTCAGGGGGAGCATACAGCATCTCTAGAGTTTATGCGTTTGACTAGTCCGCCTTTAGGGGAACCTCGCTAGCGGAAGGAAGGGCATCCCATTCTCCCGGGAGAACCACTTGGGACAGAATGGCCACAAACCATGGAACTATGCTTAGAGGCTGTGACCTCTCAACCCTGCTCTGTTCCTTCTCTGGGGCCAGAGCTCCGTCACACAGTGGCAAGTGGATTCTACCCCTTGCAGGAGGGAAAGTGGGTAGGTTTCTCAGGTGAGCTGATAAGGGAATAAAAACAAGGGTGAGTCCTGAGGGACATCTGCACATTCCTCCCTGATGACAGAGACGAGGAAGAGCAATGTTATCGGGAGCAAGTGACAATGACTGACTCAGAGAATCCTGTAACGCTGAGGTTGCAACACAAGGAACCAGAGAGTCTCTGTTTTGTAACTTCGTCCCTTGGTTTACAAGCTCAGCTGCTGCTGGCTGTCAGGACAGAGGTAAAGCTCAGCTCAGCTTGAAAAATGCTGTTGCTGGGACAGAAAGATGGCTCGGCAGTGATGAGTACTTTCTGTTGTACAGAGGACCCAAGTTTGGTTCCCAGCATCCACATAAAATACCACCTGTAATTCCATCTTCAGGGACCTTACCACCACCTCCTGGAATCTATAGGAACCTGCACTCATATGGCATACATCTATGCTCTCTCTCTCTCTCTCTCTCTCTCTCTCTCTCTCTCTCTCACACACACACACACACACACACACACTCATACATAAAATAATCTTTTTTAAAAAACAGAAGAAGAAAAGGAAATACACTGTCCAGGGAGAAAAGGGAGGGCAGTTCCCTCACCAGATTGCAGGTTCTCAATGCAGGGAAGATTTCTAACCACTGGATAGGAGGTGGGTAGTGGGGACGACATACATGCGCCTCACTAGGAGGTTGTGGTTCAGGAATCAGATTCAGGACTAGAAAGGATACAAAGTATTCTTAGGTAGGAAGACACAGGCAAGGTTCCAAAAACCAAACCCTTTAAAATGCCTGCAGCCTGCCTGCAGTGACAAGCTTTTGTAACAAAGGGTTCACTTGTGATTTGAAACATTCTTGAAGGAAAGAATCCTGTCTTCAAGACAAACATGTGAATTTACACAGTGTGCTCCCTTCCCAGGGCTCCCGGAACTGAAGTAGCGCAGAGTTCTAAAAGGGCCCGAG